AACTGGTTCGTTTTCTCCAAAACGAAGAACTTGCTGTCGGAACTCATAGCAGAATGTATAGTCAGCATTTATTTCCAATTCCAACATTCCAGCAAAAAAACTTGAGAATCGGCACTAATTAAATATATAAAAAAGTTATCACGGAATAAACCGTTTACATAAACTGAAAAAGGCAGAGTTCAACCATCTTGTCTACAGTTGAGTTGAATTTAAATTTTAACAATTTAGAATTCGAATCACAAAAGATTATTGAGATGAAGCAACGCTATCTTGAGAGATTTAAAGTAATAATGTATTTATGAATATATGACTGCTTCAATCACCAAATGTGTTACTCAAATGCATATAATTAACCTCGATTTCTATTGCATCTATATTTTTCGAGCCTTTTCTGAATGTGTACCACAAAATATTGAAATTGAACCAATCGCTAGTTCATCTAAACAAGAAAGTAAGAAAAACAATCTAACATTCAAAGTTTTATTAACATAAGCCTCACTATACAGACAAAAGTGCCTGCAACATCATACATATCGGAATTTCAGTCAGTGAAGATTCACAATTGCATACATAAAAGAAACTGGAGAAACCAATTGTGGACAAACCATATGTGTTGAAATACACAGAGACAAAAGATTATTTGATCGACGATTATTTATGGCGTTCAGGATGCAATTGACGGCAAATGTTCTTGAAACTTTGAAAATCAATGGAACAGGTTTGAAGATAAAAATTTAATTTCAACTTTACTCAACAAAATGACCCATAGTTATTGATTAGAGTAGTTATATAACGTCCTCTTCGAGGACGACTTGGTTTTTCCAGGACAACTCTGTTTTTCCAGGACAGTCCGCTTCTGGGACAAACGAACTGTCCGCTTCCAGGTCAATGATACCGTAAGACGGTGTTAGTTTTTTTTTGCCGGGAAAAAAATGAAAACTTTTTTTAATGAAAATAAACTTTTTTAATGAAAAAAATCAATGAAAAAATGAAAATGAAATTAATACAAAATTAGAGCCCTCGACTAGAGTCTCTGAGTTCGAGTTCACGAACTCTTCTTTCGACCCAGTCGAGGTAGCGCTCTTGAAATTCTTCCCGAGGGAAGCCAAAAGCTCGCTGACATCGGTGGTCGATGTATGTTATGAACTGGTCCTTCTCGGCCAGTTCAGTCCTTATTTCGGCTACCTCAGCTCGTAGCTCCTGGTTCCTGGTTTGGAGGCGCTGGTTCTGGACCAGCAGCCTCTCGATCCTCGCCTCTTGATCCTCATAGGACCGGATCTTTTGGATCGCCAACTCGATGGTTCGGGTGATGAAGGAGGGGACGGCGATCAGGGCTGACTCAAGGTGAGTCAGTACCCTTCTTAGTTGGATGGACAAAGGTGATGATTGACTGAAAAGAGAAAAAAGGTTATTAAAATGTCAAAAGTGAATTAAATTAAAAAAGTACTTACCCTCGGGTTGGCATGATGATTAAATTGATAATAA